CAAAGGAGAGTCTGCAGTGGCAGGGCCGATGGCGCGGAGCTGAGCAGACCCCACTGCAGGTGCTTTCTCTCTGCACCTCTGGCAGAGGTACATTAAACATTTTTTAAGAAAGAGTTCACCAGCAGATAGTGCAATGGTTTTGTCACTGGACTCCCACATAGTCAACTATGGTTTGAGTCCCAGACTCGGCAGCTTAAAACTAATGCCGGGCACGTGTGTGTGCGTGCCCAAAATCTCAAGAGGAGAATGAAATTGGGACTGCACTGTGGCCATTCCCCTGGGAGTGATTTCTTAGGACCAGCAGTTGGCTAATGGCTATGTCGCTGAACTCCCATGTAATCGACTGTGGTTCGAGTCCTGAACCCGGTGGCTTAGACTCACGCCAGGTGGGTGTACGTGAGTGCTCAGGATCCTGAGAGGAGAATAGAGGAGAAGAGATTGCGGCATGGCCATCCCCCCTGGGGGGTGATCTCCCGCTTTCTGTCTCTCTCTGTCTCTCTGTGTCTTTCTGGCACACACATGCGCCCTATAGCAAAAACCACTCAAAAAAAAAATAAAAGAGTTCATTTACTTTAGGAAATATTTTCACATGAAAACATCAAGATTTGAGGTTTGGGGTGCTTGGCTGGGTGGCGGGGGGGGTGGCCGCCCCGCCCCCAGCCAGTCCAAGGGGGCAGGTTGGTGTACGCCTGCTGCACTTTCATACTTACTTGAGATGTTTAATAATAAAAATTTTTAAAGGATTCTGTTTTGAGTACTGCAAGCAAGAAAGCGCGGTCTCCATGACCTGAGAAGTGAGGGGCTGGAATGATCTTTTTCCCTAGGTTTTTGACAGGGGGGGGTGGCCGCCCCGCCCCCAGCCAGTCCAAGGGGGCAGGTTGGTGTACGCCTGCTGCACTTTCATACTTACTTGAGATGTTTAATAATAAAAATTTTTAAAGGATTCTGTTTTGAGTACTGCAAGCAAGAAAGCGCGGTCTCCATGACCTGAGAAGTGAGGGGCTGGAATGATCTTTTTCCCTAGGTTTTTGACATAGGGCACAAGACTCTCCTAACAGACAGGACCAGGGAAGTGAGAAACCGCCCCGGGGCCTGGCCTCGCAGTCCCCCTCCTCCTCTCTCCTCTCAGATTCTGAGCACACCTGCCCACTGCGCCAAGTTGCAACCCACCAGAACTCGGACGCAGCGGGCCTGGGGTGTTCAGCGCCCTAACTGCCATGCTATCTGCTGGCCCCAGCCTGGAACGCCCCACTGGAGCTCTGACCGGAACTCCGCCTGGGCCAGCTGGCCAAACTCTGTCCCGAGGGCCTGCTCAGCAGGGACTGAGGCCGGCCCACCGTCTGCCCTGCCAGGTTTGCTTTAATCAAACCCACTTTGGTCATGCCCGCTTCCAGCAAACCTGCCGCAGCCAGGCCCACCTTTAGCAGAACCACCGAGGTCAGGCCCACCTTTACCAGAACCGCGCACCTCCAACCACACACTATTGTCCTCTGAAGTACCCTAAACACCAAGAACATTCCCAATTGTGGGAGAGAAACCTCTAACTTCAGCACTCTTTAAACATATTTTAAATACAAAATTGTGGTCTGGTGAGGTGAATGTGCTTGGCTTGGACCTGAGTTGACCGTGTTGCTAACGCTCTGTGCTCAGTTTACTGCCACGGGCCCCAGCAGGCAGGGCGGGCTGCATTCAGCAAGCGCCATCTTCCCTTGGGCACAGAGCCAGGCGCCGCCCTGCCAACCTCTACTGCCCCAGTCTGGAGACAGAAAGTTGAGGCTGTGAGATGAGGCAGCTTGACTGAGGTCACATGCTCAACTAGGAGTGCATTCAGAATTGCAGGACGGCCAGACCCCAGAGCCCCAGAGCTGAGTTAAAGACCTTTCGCCTTCCAGCCGGACCCAGCCCCACCCATTCCAGGTACCTCCCGCCGTGGGAGGTGGGAGAGAGTTAACAGCCGTCAAGCATCAAGCGCTGGGGCCGGGGCCGCCAGCACGCAGTAGCCCGGTGGCCACGTCTGCGCCATGCACCACGGTGGGAGGCTGCAGCTGTCGCTCACGTCTCCGCGGAGCCGCCTCTCCCTGGCCCCGAAGTCCCTTCTCTCTGGCGTAGATGGACAGTCCGTTTCCGGTCACAGAGACCTTCGCCCACAATGGCTGGTGGCCGCGGTCCTGGAACGGGCCCTGGTCACACTCTGCTTGGAGAGCGGAGCTTGGCCCCGACAGGTTGCTACAGACGCAGTGTGCCACTCGCCAGGACTTCTCTTTCTCTGTTACCTCTGGAAAAGAGAGAACCTGAGAGATT